CATTGTTATGTGCCATCGAGTTGCGACCCATAGCGACCCCATATACAGCAGCTCTGAAGCCTGTCCTGTCCTGAGCCAGTCTCACTAATTCTGACACACCAAACCCCCGTTGCCCCAGTCACTGTACCAGTCCATCTCATCTGGGGTCTTCCTCTCCTGCACTGTCCCTCCACCCTTCCAAGCATGATGTTCTCCAAGGACCAGTCTCTCCTGGCCATGTGCCCAAAGTGCGCGAGACAGAAGAACTTCAAAAGCCTAGCCTCCAAGGAGAAACTTGGTTTCACCCTCTCCAAGACACACCTATTTGTTTTCTTGGTAGTCCATGGTATGTTCAAGACTCTTCTCCAGCACCACAATTCAAAGGCATTGATCCTTCTTCTGTCATCCTTAGTCATTGTCCAGCTCTCTGATGCATAGCAAATAATTGCAAAGACCGTGGCCTGGATTAGACACACCTTAGTCTCTAAGACTGATTGTTGCTTTTCAGCACTCTGGAGAGGTCCCTGACAGCTGATTTTCTCAGTGCAGGTCCTCTTTTCCTGACAGCTGGTGTTGAGTGTTGATTGTGTAGCCAAGCAAGCTGTAATTGTCAACAATCTCAATCTCTTCTCCATCTATCATGGTGCTGCCAGTGCATCTCTAAATATTACAACTCAAGGCTTGAATTTGATTTTAAGTTATTTTCAGTTCAGACTGGAATATGATGTTATAAAAAGGTGGAAAAGACAGAAACAACTGCTTTTGGTGGTGGTCCTCTGCAGAAGTCCCTTGTGCATACTGAGCAATGGAATTGTTAGTTGAGGCAGAAAGAAGTTTCCAGGCTCCTTGGCTAACCGTGACTGTTATTTTGGCAATTTAATTTGGTTAAGTCTCTTTTTATCATGTAGATGATCAGGGGCAGAAGAGGTTCCCATGACCTAGAGAATCTTGGAGCTAAAATGGAGTTGAGAGGTGATGTGAAACCTCCTTGTTTTAACATGAGGGGGGAACCCCACAACTAAGCTTAGATTTATCTGATTAACAACAGAAGTAGGATAAGTAGTACTTGGGTCAGCAGCCCTGAGTTTCTTTTCACAGAAGCCCAAAGCTAAACCTTGCCCCAGTGGATAGGTTTTGGGTCACTTTGATTACCTTCTTTCTTGGGTGTGAAATTAAGTTTTCGGATATGCATCTTGGAGACTTAAATCCTGGAGCTGTAAGCATAAGATTTATGGGTGGGAGAAGAAACAATTCTTTCTCTTCTCTTTCCAGGCATTATAAACCTGAAGAAAATGTCCAACTAGACAGTCATTAGGGAGTTCTGGTTGTGTAGCCTGTAGCAAACTGCATTGTTAACACATAGGACAGGGTCTCTAGTGTTTTTAATCCACCAGCAGCTCCATGGGATAAAGGTGGACAGTTCTCTCCTGTTGTCGTTAACCCAGTGGTCACTATGAGTCTGAACTGCTTCAATGGGAGTGAGTTCACAAACTCTTTCAGTCTCTTGAGGCTCCTTGGCTTCAGGACTGCCACTAATTAGTGTATGTATTTAAGCAGTGCCTAGAGATGGCTCCTATCCTCAGAGGACCAGATCATTCATATCAACACTACCTTTTCTTTGATCTCCCCTCTGATAAACCTTAAAAGGCTTCAGTTTCCAATAAAGTCAGCCGCTTTTCTGAAAAGAAGGGACAAATCAAGTCTAGAATTCAAGGTCTTCTCTAGCAGGGTAAAGAAACTTTCCCCCCCCCAGCTTTTTTCCTGTATGAGTGCTGTAGAGGGGTGGCTAGTTAAGGAGAAAGTAATTCTTTTGTAGCTGTTTGGAGAAGAGTAAAAGATAGGACAAAGGTGGTTCTTCCCATGTTAGTTAAGTTCCAGCTGCAGATTTCAAACTAAGGAAGTAAGGAAACTTTCAGTTGTATTTTCACTGGGGGATGGAAATCAGGACTTATTTCTGAGCCAAGTCCTGTGATCTGCTTTCTCCAGATGCTACTGAGAAGCATGAGATTGCCCAGGTGTCAACTGAGTTGTACTAAATGGTTAAAGACTTCATGTTTTGTGCTTGAAACATCAACATTTATTGACTAGAGCAAGGTGTAATTCTGAAGTTTCCAAGTTAAGCACAACTTCCATTACCCTGAGGCCTAAACTAGAATCTCCAGTGAGACTTTTGTTTCCTCTGGTAAAATTTTTTTTCTTTTCAGACTTTGTTTTTATCTCAGGAGCTATTCTTCTGCCCTTTTTGATGACCCCCATATTGTCTGATTTCTCTGGTTCTTAGTGGGAAAGGCGAGAGTCCATCCATACCACAAATCAAAATTCACTGACCTTGCTTTGTGGTAGGACCATAGGGGAACAGGGCATCTCATACCTTTTCACCAAACAAGGGTTATCTGATTTGGTATTTTATTCTTAGAATCTGATTATCTCAAGTGAGTATATTCTAGGTAGTAAGACTTCTTTTTTTTTCATGATCTCTAGGTTTATTAATGTAGACCTTTACCCAGGGTATACTTAGGCAAATATCAGAATTTTGATGGTAGATCTAGGGCAGGGAGTTCATGTGACTCAGGGACATACTAAGCCCAGTACTGATGTTTTTAAGAGCACAAGCTGGGGAGAAGGAGCATAGCAGGAGCCACTACACCTTAGCATAATGTAGGAAATCAATAGGAGTCACAGTAGTACACAGCTTTACATGTGAGAGAGGTTACTGAGGCTAAAGAAGATATGCAAAGCTTGACACAGAGTGGTTGGTAATGGAACAAATCTTAGAAGCAGTAAAGTCTTGACTTTGGAGGCAGACATGGGGTACTTAATTTCCTAACCTTTTCATATCTAAAGCCCATGTTCTAATAAACATTCCCCTGCCCCTAAATAGGACCAGTCACAGTAAACACACACACACACACACACACACACACACACACACACACACACACACAGTTTTAAAAGTCAAGCTACAGGTTTTTCAAACAGAAAATAGCAGTAACCAGGGATGAACTGTGAGTAGGACTATAGAGTTGGTTTTCAGAGTTCATATTCAGGAAATAGGCAGGACCTTCAAAGTCTGTCTCCCCACTGGGTCTCTCTCCAGAGCTTGCCTAGTTACATTTCCTTCTGAGGACTCGCTAGGTGAATCTCTTCCTTTCCAGCCTTGCTTACCAAGTTTCCTTGACATTGCATTACACACAGTACCCTAGAGAGCACTTTTCTAGGGGAAATGCTCTAAGTTTCTACATAATTTTCTGTTCTCCCACATATCTTCCTAAGTAGGCCCAAATCAGTCTCTCCCATCTCCTCAGCAAAACCCCCAAGTCATTCTCTTTTCACCCGTGGTCCCTGCTCTACCTCTTTTATCCCCTCTGTCACTTGGTTCTCCAGCTGCATCTCAAGAAGGTGCCTATCACAGGCCAGCGCCCTGCTTGTACGCAGTCTTGCCCAGATCCATCTCCCGCCTTTTTAGGACTTCCCGCAACCCCAAGCTTCTTGCTTATTTTCCAAGTGTTTGGGCCTTCCACCAACCTCCTCAGGCTAGATTCTTTCCCTCCTGCCCTAGCCCACTCGGTCCCTTTTCCCACCCACATTTCTCCTCCCCTCACACCCTAGCCCCTCAGGCCCCGCCCCCAGATGTAGATGCCCCGCCCCCAGGGCGACGCCCAAACCCCGCCCCTCACTCACCTGAGGCTCCTCTGCGTGCGCGCGCACAGGCTGGGGTGGGGTGGAAGAAGGGATGGTGTTGGGGAAGAAGGGGGCAGGGCAGCAGGGGTCCCCCACTCTGGCCCGGTCGGCCCAGTGCGGGGGCGAGGAGTAGGGTCACTGAGGCGGAGGCAACCGGGCCAGAGCCAGGACCCGGGCGCCCAGTAGTGGAGGCGGCTCCATCTCCATCAGCGACTTCACCTGAGAAGGGACCGACCCCCCCATGAGCCCCCCCCCATAATAGCCGTTCCCCCCACCTCCCCCAAACAACTTCCGGTCCTACTAACAGGCGACAGGCGTCGAGGCAGAACACCGAGCTCCCCCAAGCTGGGAGACGGCTAGGGGAAAAGGAGAGGAGCCAGGGGAGAATAGCCGAGCGCCGAAAGTGTCAAGTCCGAAATACACTGACGTTCGCAGCAAGGAATGAAATTAACTACATCTGCATCTAATTTCCAAACTAGGTGCCTTCACCTGCCTGGGACGTCTGTCCTTTGTGTGAAATCTTGCTCTTCTTGCCCTTTACTGATTTTAACCTCTTAGCATACTTTTGTCTTTTCGTCAAGAGCGTATGAATTAATGGGAGAGATGATTGAGGGTACCAACTATTTTGTCATCTTTTTCGAGGTCATACATATATTGAGGTTGGTCACTTATGAGGCGCTCAGATGTAGACAACTGATAAGTCCCATTCTTTTACTTCCCTGCATCTGCTTCCTTTCTCTCCTTTTTGTGTGAGTTTTTTACCTTCACTCCACATCCATCCCAGTACCACTGCAGCCTCCCTCCTGTAACATATATTCCAACCCCAGGAGGTTCTAAAGCAAAAATCTTAAATGGATGCTTTATTGATACAGACTACAAAGGCACAGTTTGCACCTGTCTCTCCCCACAGCCAACTCCAGGGCAACCCAGAAAAACCGTAGAAATTAGCATATACATTTTTTTAAGCATATACAATTTTAGAGACACATTTTCTGAAGCACCAAAGAGGAACAATAAGGCTTCAGTAGTGATAGGTTTTAGAAATGAGACAAAAAGTGCTTTGCTCCAGATGTACTATTCTCATCACTGGCCCTTTGTTTCAACTGCTCTCATCTCTTGGCACAAGGTCAAGCAAGGAGGGACACTAATATAAGTGTCAGAGGAGGGAGCATGCCTAGTTGGAAATGTGCAATGTATGTACTTATATATAACTCAGGAAGGGATGGTGCAGAATTGTGATCCAAAAAGTGATGAGAAAGTCAAAGATTTTCCTGTGGTGAAGAGGGCCAAGGGATAGGTATGTGTGGAAAGGGGTTGAAAGGCAGATCCAGGAATGAAAGTGGCTTCATTTCATGTTCTCATGGAGTGACATGAACATGGATCCGGTGCCAGGCATTATTGAGCACACCTCGTAGGTTCCAGATTGGGGCCACAGTGTCTGGCTGTACATTATAATTGTCATCTACAGCCTTACAAATAATGTTCAGTTCCTTTTGCCCAGCAGGCACAGTGGCTTGCAACTGCCATAGCCTCCAGGCCCAGGCTTTCCGGGGGCGCTGTTCTTCTCCCTCCAGTTCAGCCACCTGCCAGGTTAGGCCTCCATCCAGAGACACATCAACTCGGACCACAGCCCTGCCACCACCGCTCCAAGCATAGCCTCTCACAGTAACCTCCCCGGACTCTACTGTCTCCCCCTCTTGAGGCTCTGTGATAGCTGACTGGATAGGAAGTTCCTGAATAGATGGAGCTGAATCAAAATCTACAGTGTCCCAATCCACAGAAGGAGAGAAACCTTTGTAATCCCGTCGCTGCCAGTGGCTTTCACTTTCCTCTGGTTCCACACTCACTTTGCCCAGCCACTTCACATGGCGGGCACCCACCACACCAGGAACGACCACACGCACTGGAAAGCCATGGTCCCGAGGCAGAGGCTGCCCATTCATCTCATATGCCAGTATAACCTCTGCTTCTGGGTCCAAGGCCCGAGCCAGAGGGATGGATGCTCCGTAGGCAGTTCCAGTGGGGTCTGAATCCAGTCCTTCAAAGCAAACATGGACCTCAGTTTCAGAGAGGTGGTGACCAGCCTGGACTAAAACATCACAGAGTCGTGCTCCAGCCCAGCGTGCAGTGCTTATGGCCCCTGTTCTCCATTCTAGACCTTTTACTTCTTTGACCTTAGTCATCTCAGCACGCCGGTTGCCAGCACACTGTAAAGTGACTGTGACTTCATGTTTGGGGAACTGGTATAAGTCATCCAAGGACAGAGACAATGATTGACCCCCAGGTGGCCCTACAATTTGAAGGCGATAGGTGTCTGGGTCCAGGTTGGGTACAGGCAGATGGTTCCGAGTAAAGAAAAGAGGATTGGGTGTGATATAATTTTCTGTCAGCAGCTCAAGGGGAGGCTCTGCATTAAAGGGGCGTTGGCTATTGATCTTCAGTGCTGGATGACGTGGAGGATCATTAGCATAAGGATCACAGGTGCCTAAGGTAGGAGGTGCCTTATCTTTGGGATTCAGTTCCCCAATCTTGTATTGAGCCAGTATCTCACGCACATGAGACTGGTTGTGAATGGCATAGAGGGACCAGAAGGGCTCCAGGGGACCCCCAGCTGCTAGCATCAGCTTTGATGGCCCCCCTGGGTGTATGTCCACAAATTCTGTGACATCAAAGACCTCATGGCCCAAAGTTACCCAGATCCCAGTCTCAGGACTGCAGTGAGAGCTCACTTCTTCCCGTGTGTACAAGTGTGGTGACTCCTGAGCAGCCTGCAGATCAGAAAAGACAGAAGGGAACAGCATAGTAAAAAGAAATCACCCTACCTCATCTTCCCCCAATCCACAAGTCTTAGCCACTGGGAATTGTTATTCTATCACACAGTCTGAGTTATTTGGGGAGCTTGCAAGGACTATTGTGTCTGACAATAATGCCCCTTCCCCACTTACCCTGCACTGACGTTCATGATAGGCTAACACTGCGCTGAGGCCCAGCAGGGTCCCCATGACCCTCCAGCCCCTGTCGCCAGAGTTATCATCAGAGATAGGGTGCCGGGGCTGAAATGAATCATCTGTAGAGCAGGCCCGAGAGCAGAGCCTTGAAGTCGACCTGAGTCTAGGAAAGAGAGAAGTTTTCTTAGTTGCATACTTCTTCTAACCACATAAAGGGGCCAGAGAAGATCTAGGATCTACCTCTCCATGGGTAGATGCTAGTTCCCTCAATTGGACTTAATTTCTTCAGCAATTAGTAGAACAGTGGCTTTCTCTTTTCCTCCCTTGCCACCCTCATATCTGTGAAAAGCAGTAAACTGTATTCTGGCAGATAAGGTATCAGTGAAATACTAGGGATAGGAGATAAAGGTTGGGAAGCCTGTGCTGGGATGAAATAGTTTACCTGGAGGCTTGTCGGAGCCCAGGGACCATAGCTCTGTGCAACATCAGCAGCATTATGGTAGACCTGTAGGAGGAGGGTGCTGGGATCAAAACAGGGAGAATCAGATTGGAGGGAATGGATAGGGAAGTGGCAAAGAGAGGGTCTGTTAAGAGTTTTATGGGCAAATGGGGAGACCTTTTTTTTATGGGCAGATGAGGCAGTACTGGCCCTTACGGAGAAAACTTAAGAGTTCTTGAGAGACATAGAATGGAGGAAGGGAATGAAGAAAGGGGGTCTTCTAGAGTCACTTATCTCCGATCTATTCCTTTTGCACTGTAGAGAACTGTGCTGGGGCCAATGGCCTAAAAGGGGAGAAGCTAAACGTCTGGATCGACATTTTAATATTTTTGAAGTCAGAAGACAAATGAGGGATAATTTGAAACAGATCCAAAAGGAGGGTGGGAGCAAGAAGGAAGGTAGTAGCAGCTTAATGGAATGGAAGAAACCAGAGTCTGGGGCAAGCAACCTAATCTCCCTGAACTTTCCTCCTCATCTATGAAAGGAGAGAGGAAGATGTACCTCATAAAACTTTTGAGAAGATTAAACAAGGTAGTAACATTGTTGTGGAAGGTCTTTCAATCTAAAATAAGCAAAGAAAGCAAGCTGAGAACTGGATCCCAATGTAAGGTTTCCACTCAGGCATTGCGGAAGCTTTTCTAATGAGCTCAGCAAACAGCCCGGTGGAAGGCCCAGGGTGGAGGTGGATGAAGGAAGTGAACTCCCTTGCAGCAGTTTCTTCTTCACAGCCTTTGGCAGATCAATGACATCAGACGGCCAAAGTGGGAAGAGATGATACATAACCCAACTGTTGACTTAAGCTAGGGTGATGCGTTGGAGCAGGGCGCCCGCACTTCACCCCTGGGCCACTGGGCCTCCCTCACGGGTCCTCAACACCAACAATCAGGTTGCTAGCACCGTAAAGGGCGATGCCGGGAAGGCTTACTCGCAGAACCTGGTCAGCCCAGAGAGTATGAAAGCCTTTTCCTGTAAAATAGAAAGGCTGCCTGTTGGTGTGGATGGTGGCCCCTCTCCCCAGGGATACCTTAGAAGGAAGCTATGGCTTGCTCAGGGGCATGAAAACTCGGCCCTCCTGCCTCTGGCCCGGCAGGTGGTATAAGGTCCCCTAGCAGCATCCCGTGCCCCGAGCAGGGTTACTGGAGGCAGGTACAAGCAATTTTCAAGTACACAGCACCCCTGGGTACTAGCATGATGGCGCCGACCGCCGCCTCCTTCCCTATTAGCAGTCCAGTAACCACCCTTCCTCCTCCTCCTCTCCCGGTTCCAGGCTCCTTACCCGCTAGGCATCTACAACGCACCGCACCGAACCTGTTTTAGGCGCTAGACACCCAGCGGTCGTTCGTTCATGATGATGGGGTGGGGCCAGCTCCTGGATTTACCGCAGAATTCCTCTGCTCAGCGTTCATCTCCTATAGCCATTGGCCTGCCGCCGGCACCACCCAACCCGCTGAGCCCGCCTCCTAGAGGTTGGGCGGGTGGAGGAGTACGAGAGCCGCTCCGCCAGGTTCCACCCAGCTAGACTATGCTGTTTTAAAGTTGATTACAGCCTCAGTGGGTGAAGAACAGGACCCTCACTAGTGCCGATCAAGGCTGTGGAGGTGATAACGATTTTCAACAGCTGAGAAGTGGAAGATTTGGAGACCCGCCTCGATGCTCCACGGCTGGTGGCGGAAAGGCACGTTCAAGGGAGAAGGCCTTGGGAATCCAGCCAAGTTTCTTGGGTGAGGAGCTCCGCTTCTATCAGGTTTTGACGTGTGGCAATTACAGCAGAGCTGTTTATTTCTTAGAGGAAAGCAGGGTCAACTGCTCACATGCAGGAATCAGAGAAGAAATGAAAGGTTTAAAAACTTAAGGATTCCCTGGACTACCCTAATTTCTTCTTCTCAAATAATTATAGAACCAACAATACTGAACCTTTTATATTTTACGTAGTAAAATCCCTCATTTCTACATAAAGGGCACTCAAAAAAATTCTACTATAGAGCATATAGATTCTGACTCATGCTGTCGACTATGACCCAGCCCAATCCCTATGAACAATGGATCTGAACCCTGCCCTGTGCTATCCTGATCTCTGACACTCATGTCCTTTTCCAAAGACGGCCCCTCCTCCTAACAACATGCCGGATCCTTAATTGAGTTTCTGATCCTCAACTGGGTTTCTTAAACTGTAAAATTTAACCAGAGATTGTCCAGCTTTCTCCCAAGGAGGCGCTAGTGAATCTTCAATGACCAAAGACTCTCGGCCTTTTATTTAGCAGCACTAAATAAAGATACTAAAGTGCGCCTGATTCAGGCCATGGTCTTTGCAATCAGTTGTTATGTGTCAGAGTTGGACAATGACTAGGGAGGACAGGAGAATTGATGCCTTTGAGCTGTGGTGCTGGAGAAGAGTACTGAATGTTCCATGGACTGCTAGGAAAACAAACAAGTTCATCCTGGAGATGGTTAAACTGGACTTTTCCTTGGAGGCAAGGATTCTGAGGCTTCGTCTGACATACTTTGGACATGTTGCAAAGATGGATCAGTCGCTGGAGAGGAACATCATGCTTGGGAGGGTGGAGGGACAGTGCAGGAGGGGAAGACACTCTAGGAGGTGGACTAATTCAGTGACTGGGGTAATGGGGTGGGGGTGTCGGAGACAGTGAGATTGGCACAGGACAGGGCACGGTTTAGGGTTGTTGTACATAGGGTCGTTATGAGTTGCGACTCAACGGCACATAACAACAAATATAGATTACATTACCAGAACACCTATAAAAGGCATTAATAGGACATAACTGCCATTACTTTTTAAAAATTAATTTTAATTAAAATTTACAGACTTAGGGTTTACAGTGCCATTACTTTTTTTTTAAATCATTGAGAGCAGCTGAAAATTAGTTACCTACTTGTTGGTTGTGTACCATTAAGCCAACAAACCTCATCCGTGAACCTGGGAACCTACTGCCCTCTAGTGATCAATGGGTTGAGCTACAACCTTTGTTTGCAGTTACGTCCTTCAGCTTTAAATTAATTTTGGAAGATCATTTCCTCCTCTCTTTCTGCTCTTTTAAGGATCTCTAGGATGGATGGTGAAGAAATTGAGACTGTTAACGGTTTTTGTTTGCTTGGCTCCATAGACAACACTCTTGGCACCAGCAGCCAGGAAATTAAAAAGACATATTGCGATGGCAAAGTCGGCCGTTAGGGACCTCTCCAAGTACTGAAGAGCAATGATGTCACTCTAAGGGTGTGCCTGATAACAGGCCATGGTCTTTGCAATCACTTGCCATGTGTCAGAGAGCTGGATAATGACTTAGGGAGGATACGAGAATTGATGCCTTTGAACTGTGGTGCTGGAGAAGAGTATTGAATATACCATGGACTAATAAGAAAAAGAACAGATTCACCCTAGAGAGGGCTGAACCAGGCTGCTCCTTGGAGGCAAGGATTCTGAAGCTTTGTCTCACATAATTTGCACATGTTGCAAGGACGGATCAGTCCTTGGAGAAGGACGTCATGCTTGGCATGTGGAGGGATAGTGCAGGAGAGGAAGGCCCTCTATGAGGTGGATTGATTCAGTGACTGGGGTAATAGGGGTAGGTATGTCAGAGACAGTGAGATTGGCACAGGATAGAGCAGGATTTAGGGCTGCTGTACATGGGGTCGCTAGGAGTTGCAGGCAACTCAACAGCACATAACAACAGGAGCTCTGGTGGCCTGGTAGGTGAGCAGTTGCACTGCAAAGGCATTTGATTCAAATCCACCAGCTGCTCCACGGATGAAAGATGGGCAATCTCTCTTGCAATTTACAGCCTCAGAACTCAGCTACTAGCTAGATTACAATTTGCAGTTTTACAGGATAAAGATGGGCAATCTCCTCCCATGAATGGCTGAGTAGGTTCCAACGGCTTGGCAATAAGATTGAATGAAGGTGGTGAAGGTGGTATAGAAACATCACTAACCCAAAGGCTGAACTCTGGTGCGTCAAATCCACTAGTGGCTCCACAGGGTAAGTCCCCATGTAAATTTGTGAGGCAGGGAGTGTGGTGACATAGTAGGTTAAATGTTAGGCTGCTATTCAAAAGGGTGGGAGTTCAAACCCACTAACGCACAGTGTGAGAAAACAGAGACCTTTCAGATTTACAAACCTCAGAAACCAACTGAGGGTTCCCATGAATCAAAATTAATGGCACAAAGGTTGGATTTTTTGTTGTTGCTTTTGTGGCAAAATAGCTAAAGTACTTAGCTACTAACCAAATGGTTGGCCAGGAAAACAACCTGGCAACTGGCTTCCATCAAGATTTACAGCCTTTGAAATGAGGGCAGTTCTATTCTGTCTTACAAAATCACTAAGTCAGAATACACTCCGCAGCAGTGCATCTGATTTGCTTTGGGTAGCACAGTAAAGAAGCCCTGGTGGAGCAATAGAAAGGAGAGTATTTCAGATCAGAACTGCAAACTGGTTAATCCAGGTTCAGTCATGGCAGCTGAAGCAAAACCCAGGGAACTGAATGAAAAGTGAAAAATATGAAGGTCTGCAACAATAACCAAAATGGAGAAATGTAAAGGCTGACACTGTTAGGGAAGTCAGGTGGTACAGCCTGTAAGGAGTTTAACTGTTAACTCAAAGGCTTTATCTCCCTGGTGGTTAGAAGACGGGCAATCTCCTCCAATTTGGTTTATAGCCATAGAAACCCAATGAAGAGTCATGTGAGTCGGCTCTGACTCTATAGCAATGGGTTTAGTAAGAACACTAAATAGAATGGGGGGAATTATAGGATGACACTTAATAGAAACAATCTCCTTCTTTAAAAAACAAGGGTGGCATGCACGTTGCATCACAACTTGCATGGCAAAGTTGGAAAATGCCCTGATCAAAGATGGTACCTGATTATGCTGTTCTGAATGTGTGTCACTTTCCACAATCATTACAATAATTCAGTCTCCTGCATTAGGCTCCTCAAAGGGCTCATTGTGCCTTTTCCAAGTCTCTCATTCCAGAGGTTTACCCTTTAACAGTTTATTATTCCAAGCACCCACGCTTTACAAAATTCTAGTGCATCCCAGTTTCTCTTTGTCAGCTATTACTGAAACAGTTTGAAGCCCTGGTTCAAATCCACCAGCCACCCTATGAGAGAAATATGTAGCAGCCTGCTACAAAGAGGATCACCAAACAAAACCTGTTGCCTTTGACTCAATTCCAACTCCTAATGACCTTGTAGGACATAGTACAAATGCACCACAGGGATTCCAATGCTGTATTATCTATAGATACATCTGTGATCTGAAAGTTTCGTTTTTTTCATCCAACCATTCATATATATTTTGTTTTATAACACTGATCCCCTTATTGTTTACTGCCTTTCCCTTCACAAGGCTATACATTTTTACAGAAGCAGATAGCCACATCTTTCCCCCATAAAATGGCTGGTGAGTTCAAACTGCCAAGCTTATGGTTAGCAGATGAGTGCCTAACCACTGTGTCACCAAGGCTGCCTTTTCTCAAGAGTACAATCTTGGAAACTCTATGGGGTGGTTCTACTCTGTTCTAGAGAGTCACTATGAATCAGAATCCACTTAGCAAAAGGGTTTGGGTTTTATGCTTTTAAAACATTAGAACTTTTATCAGGAATTAAGGAATCCACTGAGAAAACAGAGACTACTGGAAAAGGAACTGATGATTAAGTTCACTTCGACACAAAAGGTTTTGGTAGTGGAATTCAGTTTAAAAACCCAGGAGAGGCCCAGTGCTTGGTGAGTCTTAAAAAAAAAGAGTATAGGGCTATTGTACACATGGTCACTATGAGTCACAAGTGACTTGACAGCACATAACAACAATAATGGAATCTCAGTGAAAAAGCATACAGAAAAGTCTATCTGAATTAATAGCTTAAGAACTCTCCCTAGTAATTCTGTTACTTACTGTGTGTCACATGCTTTATGTAACTGGCCTTTCAATATCAATGGTTTTATTTTGCAGATGTTGCGAGAAAGAAAGTTGAGTAATTTTATCAAGGCCACAGCTGGTAAACTGGAAGAGAAAGGCTTGAAATGCTAGGTCTGTCTGGCACCTGCCCCCATTTCTGCCTTTCTTCCTCTAGACTCTGAGATTTAAGTTCTCCCACATTTATACCCATCTTTTTTCTGCTTCATTCTTTCCCCCCCGACTGAGACTGTGACTGACAAGTGCAGACTCGGGAAATTTCTGTTGTGATAGAAGCTCTATGTGAAAAAGTAAGCAATGTTTAACCTTTTCCTAGACCTTTCTGAGACATTAACAAAAGTAAAGGATTCTCTCCCTAGAAAAATATGTATATATATTTTTATATTGTTCTCAAAGATTTACAAATGCCACCCCTCCTCAATCTCAGTACTTCTCTACAGGCCCCCAGACTATGTCATGCCCGCCTATATTCCACTGAGAGCACCTAACAGAGCTAGAGTAAGAGTTTATGAGCTTGTGAGTAACCTTCAAATGTTGTGGTTATGTTCCTCAGAGTGATCTTCAACTAACACCAACTCATGGCCTTTAAACAAGAATGATTAACAGCAATAAAAGGACTATTTTCCAAGCTAGATTCTCTCATTATTCAAGAAAAGGGCACAGGGACTAGGAAGATGGGCTGGGGGTGGAGTAAGTGTGTTCTAATTTAATAAAACATCGCTTGGTATCATTTCTTCTAAATTTCTAGCATCAGACGGATAAATAGCAAAAATAAAGAAGCATTACTACAAAACGCTTTTCTTTTTTTCCCCTTTTTTTACTTACATTAAATACATCGGTAAATCAGCAGTTGCATTCTGTTACCACGATTGTTATGTTGGGAGAGGGAAAAAGGGGGGACAAAAAGGCAGATGCTTTCTTAGAAGAAAAAAATACCACCCAAAAAGACAACCCCCCTTAAAAAAAAACAAAACAAAACAGAAAAATGAAGAGCTTGGAAATAATAACCTAAGATCCCCAAGCCCAACAGAGCTTGAAAGTAAAAGAGCTTATAGGAAGTAGAGAGATGGCAGCAGATAGGCCCAGAAGCTAAGGCCAATCCTGTTCCTAATGGTAGGAGGGCAGAGAAGAGGGGAGAAAAAGCCAGAGGAAATGGATTCCCAGTTCCAAGGCAATGAAGTATCTTCACTCCTGCTCCATGGAGAAGGGTGGGCGAAAAAGAACTTCAGTTTCTTTTGAAGAAATAAAATTTAAGAAAGCCATCCTAGTTCCTCCACTTTGGGGGCTAGAAGGTGCTGGGGAAAAAGGAGGAAAATACATGTTTCAGGGCCATGGGAACTAAGGCTGCCCCTGGAAAAGGAGAGGAATTGAGGCCTAAGTGGAAGAACCTAAGCTGGGTCCTTCAAAATCTCAGCTTCATGGATTTCCCAGCTGCTCTGGGATAGAAGGCAGTCTGAAAGCCAAAAAGGCAGACAATCCTAGGTTATTTTGATAATCCCATCTATCTTCTTCTAATCTTAGAGCTAGGATCGAAAAAGTAGGAGCCTAAAGTTCTCTCTTGCCTTGATGGCTTCCCACAGATGTCCTAAACACACCTGATGAGGGATATGAAAAGATGCTAGAGATCTAGAAAGGACCAAAGCCCTCTGATGGTGTTGAGACAGTTGTGAGGTACCTTTCAGTGCTAGTTATTGCCTGTCCACAGAACAGGTGGTATAATATAAGGGGGCCACAAGAAGACCTCTGTGATATTAGCCCCTAGTGGTACAAGGATGCATAAGGGGTAGGGATGGGGATAGGATGGAAGGACTAAACTGAAGATATTAACAAAGGAGAAAAGTAATAGGGTCTGATGAGAAGTAGGGTATAGAAGAGACTGTACAGTGGGAATAAAGATCACACCTATTTACAGGAAGTAGAAAAGACATGGTAATGCATATCAAATTGAATGTGAACCCTAGAAAGAGAGAAAACTCTTCCCTCTGACCTGGCCCTTTTTCACTTTCCTTCTTTAGCCTATGCTATGAGGAGTATGCTGAGACTACTCCTCAGTTGCTAAGTTAATTCTCTAAGAAAGGCAAATCTCCATGTAAGAGCTAGGTGGGCTAGACTACAGGTTAAGAGTAAGAGTTAGAGGAGGCTAGCATGAAGTTGGGCATAAACACTGTTCCCTACAGCCCTTCCCAATACTTCATATATATATATTGGATTCCATTTAATGAAGGGGGGGAAAAAGGTGTAAGAGTGGATAAATCAATCAAAGCCCCCATAAAAAGGTATCCCAACTGAAATACCATTAATTAAAGTGCAAACTGCAGGGGGGTGTGGTGACAAGGCCCATTTAAAGGCCAGAGGGGAAAAAAATGCATCTGTATAAATCAGAGGACGGGTATCAGAAACTGGTCCCTCCTCCAATCAGATCATAGCAGAGCCAAAGATGCAGGCAACCAGTGAAGATTCTTTGGAGGACTTTGGGATCCAATCCCCATCAAGGGGAAGAAGCTAATTAAGAGCCTGGGTGAAGGGAAATCAGGCCTCAGAAGAGTTCTAGAGCCACAGCAGACACTGCACCTCCATCTCAACCCATTTAACTAGTTCAACACAACTCCCACCTGGTGTTAGAAAGCTTCCCTTCCCATTCTTATTTCTTGCTAGAAACACCCTCCACAAGGCCAACTCATGGATAATGCAGTGTTTTCAAATCTGAGAAACTCCAAACAAACAAAAAACAAAAGGAAATGTTTCCTTACTCCCTCCTGCTGTGAGCCTTACTCTTCCCCAGGGCCCTTAATGTGACTGAACTGGCAACTTCCTTCCTCAGTTCCTGGGTTCACCACCTTCTCCATCCTGGGGAAGAGGAGAAAAAGGGGATCAAGAACAGGGACTGGCCAAAGCAGATGGGGGAAGGAGGGAAGGGAGAGGAGACAAAAGTGTTTTTTTTTGAAAAATGGGAACACTGGGGATGAAGAGGAAAAATAAGTAGGTCACTGTTTTACACCTATAATATAAAGTGAAGAAAGTTCGTTTTGGAAGTTAAGTCCCAGGGGAATCTGACCCCCAAACCCCAGGGTAGGGGGTAGGAGGCCACTGGCCAACAGCTGCCTGGTGTTGGTTGCTGAAGCATTAAAAAGTGCCATGACAGAGCTGTCAGGAGGCAGCCCTTGGGAGCCAGGGCTCAGTGTGCTGTTACTGTAGGGGCTGTGTTCTAAGGGGTAGGGATGGAGGTTATCTCTTAGCTCTCATGCTAGCTCCATACTTGTTTGCTGCTAGCCACCCCCTCAGTTGCTACAACACTGGCTCTTGTTCTGCTGAGACTGCTCATGGAGATCCACACCCCGGCTTCGGCCTGCTGCACCCCCCAGATTCTGGGGTTCACTCTTTGGCAACTTCTTAGCTAGAGAAGAAAGAAAAGGGAACAAAGTATGATATACTTTACTCATTATCTCTACAACCTCATGAAAGGCAATTATTGGTTGGGGGAAGAAGATTAAAATGGGAAAAATCAAAAGATTAAAACAATGTTCTGAAGGGGCAGGGGTTCAAAAAACACTGAAGACTAAGGGGCTAAAACTGCAGTCAAATGATAGATGTTGTATATCACAATGGAAAATTAAGGTATTTCTATACCTAAAGTTTTTACAACTACAAACATTCCCACCTATCATGTGACTTAGGTTAACTATAATCCTGTTTAGAGGCAAGGGAAAAAGACAAGATCACTGAGTCTTTTCTGATCTTACCTATTGCCAGGAAGAGATCATTCACGTTCATAGCTGTCTTGGCTGAAGTCTCCATAAACAATAAGCTGTTGTCATCTGCATATGCTTGGGCCTCCTGTAAAGGATGAGGTTAGTGGTGCACAGAATGTAGGGTGGGAACAATAATTTCCTTTCCACTCCATAGAACAGCCCTTAACTTTTCCTCTGAACCAGATATGAACCTGGACCATATTTTGATGACTTTTGCATAGTGAAGTCAGACTGTGGAGTACTCAGTACAACAAGCAGATCAGGAATCTTACACATTATGGGCAACAGAGATTCTGACCCTTAAATAGTCACTGTCCTTAAAGTCAACTGTTCCTTTTTGTTTCAAATTGGTTCTCCTACAGTTGATATTCCCCATCACCTAGTTCTAGAATTTTCTTCTGACTTCTTAGAAATATCATGGCTGTCATTAAGGTCACAATGTTGTTGTATTTAACTTGGGCCTGAACTGAGAAATGAGACAATGGATGTTTCACTTCAAAAAGGGCAGTTTAAAAGAGGCCCTAATCACAGAAACAGTGTATTAGAGAGGGACTCTTATGGGCCATCTTACTTCATACTCCACCATGCGCTTGTTGGCCAGGTCAGCTTTGTTTCCTGCCAGGGCAATAACAATACTAGGACTGGCCTGTCGTTGTAGTTCCTTCACCCATGTCTTCGCCCGGGCAAAAGTTTCCTAGGAAAACATGAGGAAGAGCATAGGTTTAATTCACATCCATCTTCTTCAAAATCCAGTGTCAACATACATTCACCTTCTAGCAGGTTGTTCCTCTCTGAAATCAGCAGTTTCTGATTCATTTTCTTCTCAGCACTTGAAAACAAAATTTGTACTCTCATTTTGCTTTTTCAAGAACCTATTTTCTCTCCTCCAAATTAATTCTCATAAGGGCAAGAATTCAGCTCACTTACCTGATTGGTAATGTCATAAACCACAATTGCTGCTTGGGCCCCCCTGTAGTACATAGGGGCCAAACTATGGTATCGCTCCTGCCCAGCTGTGTCCCAGATTTCAAACTTGACTGTTGTATCATCTAGACAAACGGACTGGGTAAGGAAGGCCGCTATGGAGGAGAGAATGGAAGGGAAGAAGTTATAAGCCACTGGACGAATGGGAACATCTAAGAAATTGTCAAAAATACTCCCACTCAAAGACAACTATAAGGTATCATCTCACTCCGGTAAGACTAGAAAAATTTAACAGAACAGCAAGCAACAAATGCTGGCGAGGTTGAGGAGAGACTGGAACCCTTATTCCTGTTGGTGGGAGTGTAAAATGGTGAAACCACTGTGGAAGGCTATGGTGCTTTCTCAAAAAGTTGCAAACAGAGATACCATTTGACCCAGTAATTCTACTACTGGGAATATACCCTAAAGAGACCATAATCGCCATCCAAGCAGATATATGCACACCCATGTTTATCGTGGCTTTGTTCATAATAGCAAGGAGATGGAAACAACCAAAGTGCCCATCAACAAACGAATGGATAGAGAAGCTGCGGTATATTCACAAAATGGAATACTACACTGCATTGAAAAACAAGGAACTCATGCAATATTATTCAAAATAGGTGACCCTGGAGGATATTATGCTGAAATATCTCAGTCACAAAAGGACAAACACTGCATACTGCCACTGTTGTAGAATAGGGCTGACATCAGGGTTGGGGTAAGACTGAGAAAAACTGGATAAATTATGTATACTACATTGAAATGGATGAGGAGAGAACAGTTTAAAATAAGAGTCCAGAATGAAGGTTCCATAATGGAGTGTACCCTGGGTGGGGGCAGGAGGATTGTATACCAATGAAGGAATTTTTCTTTTACTTTTCAAAGAGAAGAGAGGGGGTGGGGGGGCAGGGAGAAAAGTGCAACAATGAATGAATAGAAATCCACAATCTCTGTTAAATGTTCATTAAAATTAATTAAAAAAAATACTTCCACTCAGTCTAAGGCCAGTTATCACCCAAACTACTTAGCTATAGGAAAAGATTTTCACATTCTCCTTTTCATATATAGGTCCTGGAACCAGGTGAAGATTGTCCTTAGCTAGGTTCTTTCTGCCAATAGTCTCTCTGGCCAAGGAATGGTGAAACATTGTAATTTATCACCGATCAAGAGAACTGGCACTTCAGCTAGTCATTCTACTTCTAACCAAAATAGGCAAATAACAGAGAGAAAAGCTTCAGAAGCAACTAACTAGAAAATGTTAAAGCTTGATGGCAGGTTTACTATTATAAAGTTCTATGTCTGCTGCTCTTAGCACCTTCTGGAGGTCCAGGAATATCCTATTTTCAATGTGATCAGTAAAAGGAGAGAATGATTTAAGAATTCAAAGATTCCTTATTGAATTAGCACCTTATTTTGTAGTGGTTGCAGGGAGAAGACAGCAGACTAGGTAAAAAATGCCATTTATATCTTGTGCTTGGTTCCAGCTTCTATTTTATCAGAGATTTGCATTAGAATCACTTAAACAGCATTTCCAAGCACACACATCTACCTGCCACTTTGCTTATACCACTGCTGCTACTAACTTCCCACCTCCTATACACAACAATCAATCTAGAGCAGGTTCCAAGCATGCATATTTTATAAATGTTCCCTAGGTGATTCTGCTGTACACTATTGATGATGAATACTGCTCTAAACCAACCCTGTTCAAGATAGTCAACAGAATCTCCCTAAGATTGAAATGGTTAATAGTGGGAGGAGAAAGACCAACATGAAAAATCAGGGCTTTTCTTGGTACACAAAGACTAATTTCTTTTTCTTTAGAAAGAAGATGAACATATATATATACTTGCTCTTTTTGTCATTACAGTTAATTTTTAAAAGTTTTTTTTATAGAGTTTCCATTCCTGGGGAAAAGAATGAGGCTCAAGTGGTCAGCTCAATAGACTTCTCTGCAAAAGCCTTCTTGAACACTGAACCATTTCTTTCCTTGAGGGACTCACCTCCAATGGTACTCTCCTGGTACTCATGGAACTGCCCTTTGACAAAACGTAATACCAGGCTAGACTTCCCCACTGCAGATTCTCCCAGCAGGACCAACTTGAACTGGCATATTTTGCTGGCCTGAGGCTGCCTATTGGGCCTGGCTGTGCTTCTGCTAGTCATGGCCAGGTTAGTAGAGTGGGGAAGGGTAGAGGGAAGGGGATGCCACAAAGCGGCAGAAGGGGGAAGGGGGAGGGGAGGGGGGTTTCCAGATTTCAGTAGTCCTGCAAGAAAAAAATAGGTAGAATTAGACACAGGGTCTCCACTGCAGCTCTAGGAACATCTTGGGAAAAGGACAGAATCTATTTCCTTACTCTGGAGGATATAGCTCTTGACCCTGGATGAGGCTGATTAATACAGTGACTGTGGCAATGGGGTCAAGTGTGTCAGAGATGGTGAGGTCAGCTAAGGATGGAGCAAGGTTCAGAGCCATTGTTCACAGGATAGCTGTGAGTTGTAGTTGACGCTAAGGCACATAACAATAATCATCTACCACTGAAAAGTTATACCTTTGGGAGGGTTCCAGGTAGCTTTACTCAACAGGAACAGTAAAATAACTTTATCTGACATAATTTGCTCTAACGCATCATCTCTAACTGCTAAAAAAACTGAAATGGAGAGACTAAAAACTAAGGGAGAAAGGTTTTTAACTCCCCATTAATTCTGATCAAGTCTTCAAAACTTGCTAATCACAGCAAATTAATTAAATTTTAGTTAGCCTAAAGAGAATCTAAATCCACTGACAAGTTCTCTGGGTCTCCAGTAACAGCCCAACTATCAAAATGAGAAATTTACTCTAGGATTGTGAAGTGGTTTAAGAGTCACTACTCCCAAAAGCTGATGTGCAGTGTTTGGCTCTATATCCACCCTACATGACCAGTCCTCCTGACAAGGCATTTCTGAAGATCTAACCAGGGTTCTATAGTCAGAAAACCTACCCATACTTTAATCTGGTTGAAATCTTGACCTATGTGGTAAAGAGGAAAACACAACTAATAGTTTATATTCAGTACTAACTTTTTTTTTTTAGTACCAACTTTTTCAATTTGCTTTTGCCAACTTTACAAATCTGCAAGTGTATCAAATCTAATAGTAAACTTAACCTACTCTTAATTTGCAGTTGTTTTCCTAGTGCCTAGGGATTAGATTGCTTTTGGCACCAAAAAGGCCTAAGAGATACAGGCCTTGAAATTAGAGGCAGAGAGAGGTGTACTTTCCAAACACATGTAGGACTTTCCAGAGGATAGTATTGGGATAATGTCTTCAAGTAATAATAAGTATTTGAAAGAATAAGCTACATCAACGTTCTGTCTTCTAAGAGGGCTTAGAAAGCTTCTGGGGGTGGGGGGTAAAGATAAAGACAAGCAGAAGATGGGACCTTGAGGCTCTAATTATCCACACCTGAATCTCTCATCATCTTGACTCTAAGTAAGGGAGAAATGACAAGGAGTTAGCATGTAAAATCTCTCTCCAAAACTTAAGTATTGCTTAGTTATCACAAGTGAAGTCTTGTTCAAATCAATCTTTTTAAAATGTTGATGTTAGGTTGTTATGTGCCATCAAGTTGCCGGAGACTCATAGAGACCCTACGTACAACAGCCCTAAATACTGCTCTATCCTGTGTCAATCATATTGTCTCTGACACACCTACCCTCACTACCCCAGTCACTAAAATCAATTCATCTCATAGATGGTCTTCCTATCCTGCGCTGTCCCTCCACCCTCACAAGCATGACATCTCTCTTGACAAGGACTGATCCCACTTTGTAACATGTCCAAAATACGTCACACGAAGCTTCAGAATTCTTGCCTCCAAGGAGCAGCCTGCCTTCACCCTCTTTAGGAAGAACTTGTTTGTTCTCCTAGCAGTGCATGGAATATTCAATGCTCTTTTCCAGCACCACAGCTCAGAGGCATCAATTCTCCTTCTATCATCCCTAGTCACTGTCCACCTTTCCAATGCATAGCTAGTAACTGCAAAGACCATGGCCTGTTTTAGGCGCACCTTAGTCACCAGACTGACACTGTTGATCTTCAGTACTTTGGAGAGGTCTCTGACAGCAGACTTTCCCAGTGCAATTCATCTTTAAATTTCCTGGCTGAGAGTGTTGATTATTGAGCCAAGCAAACTGAAGCTGTTAAAAATCTCAATCTCTTCACCATCTATCATGATGCTGCCAATCAGCCCAGTGCTAAGAACGTTTTTTTTTTCTTTTCTTTTTTTAAAAATCTTTGTTTTCTTGATGTTGAGTTTTAGTGCATATTGAAGGCTGCAATCCTTGACCCTCTGCAGCAAGCGCTTCAGGTCCTCCGCAGTTTCAGCAAGCAGGGTGTGTCATCTGCATAAGGCAAACTGTTGATGAGTCAACCTCCAAACCTGTACTACATTTCTCACAGAGCCCAGTCTCCCGGATAATCTCTTCCACATACAGACTGAAAAGATATGGAGACAGGACACATCCTTGGCACATACCCTTCCTAGGTACTCTACAAAAAAAAAATCCACAGCTGACACTCCAGCATGTTTTTAGAGGTTTCAAATCACATGGGTGGACACTGCTCATCTTTCTCCTGAGGAGCATTTAAAGTCCTGTGGTTGATTTGAAGCACCTGCCTTTGCAACTCCATATCCATGATGCCAGCAGAGCTCCCTAGGTACACTACAGACAACATATGAAGTATGTAAGGAAATATCCTTTTTGTCACTGTAATGCATGAAGTCAAATCAGGGTTAAAAATCTCAACATCCTCCTTGGTAAAGGACCACAGGTTGTGGGAATCCAGTTTTCCTCTTTTCTTTTTCTTTTTTTATTTTTTTATTATTTTTGTGTGAGTGTACCATCAAATCAGATCTGACTGATACAGGAAGAGATTGTCTCTCCTTCCCCGGCAGAGCATCTGGTGGATTCAAACTGTGCACCTCTGGGATTGTAGCTGCAGCTCCTTGCCACTAGGCCACCAGAGCTCCCCTTCCTCTTTTCTTTTTATGAACATTTTAATTAGGCTTTAGGTGAAAATTTGCATAGAAAATTAGTTTTCTAAGGAGGGAAACAAGTAAAACACAAAAAAACCCCGTTTCCTACTTTTGCATTCCAGTCACCAATTATTATTAATGCATCCTGACTGCATGCCTGGTCAATTTCAGACTGCAAAACTTGGTAAAAATTCTCAATTTCTTCCTTTTTGGCTCTAGATGTAGGAGCATAAATTTGAAAAATAATCTTATTAACGAGTCTTCCTTGTATGTGTATGGATGGATAATATCCTATCACTCACACACTGTTATTTCAGGATAGTACTTGAGACTGACTTTTTTACTATGAACGCAACACCATTCTTCCTGTTTTTCATTCCTTGAAGAGTGTATCATATGATTATCAGATTTAAAGTGGCCATAGCATGTCCACTGCATTTCACTAATGCCTAGTATGTCGATATTCATGCATTCCAGTTCATTTTAAACAATTTCATGATAGATGGAGAGGAGATTCAAACTGTCAACAGCTTCATCTTGCTTGAATCCACAATTAACACCCTTGGTATGAGCAGTCCACTGCATTTCACTAATGCCTAGTATGTCGATATTCATGCATTCCAGTTCATTTTAAACAATTTCATGATAGATGGAGAGGAGATTCAAACTGTCAACAGCTTCATCTTGCTTGAATCCACAATTAACACCCTTGGTATGAGCAGTCAGGATATAAGGAGACACACTGCACTGGGAAAATCTGCAGTTAGGGACCTTTGCAAATTATTGAGGAATAAGGTACATCTGATTAAGGCCATAGTCTTTCTGATTACTAGCCATGCATCAAAGACATGGACAATAAAAGAGGACAGAAAAAGAATTGATGCCTTTGAGCTGTGGTGTTGGAGAAGAGCACTGAACATTCCATGGATGGCCAAGAGAACGAACAGATATGTCTTGGAGACAGTGCAGCCAGAGTGCTTTTTGGAGGGAAGAATGATGAAGCTTCACCTTACATACTTTGAACATGTTGCTAGGAGGCGCTAGTCCTTGGAGAGGAACATGATGTTGGGAAAGATGAAGGATTAGTGAAGATAAGCAAGACCTTCAACCAGGTGGATTGACAGGGTGACCAATGCAAGAGGCTCTTGTGTGCCAGGAAGTGAGGATGGTGTAGGACAGAACAGGGTTCAGATCTTTTGTTCACAGGGTCGCTATGAGTCATACGTGACTCGATGGTGCCTAACAACAACAACATTTAAAAAAAAGGGAAAAAAAAAGAGAGAAAATTAGTTTCCAATAATTTACACAAAACTTTTCCATTACATTTGTTGTGTATTTTCCAGTTCTACTTACTCCCTGTGTAACTTTAGTGTAAGTGACTAAATTTGTTTGTGTTTCCCACATCTGTAAAATGAGGAAATAAACATTTAAGTGTCTATGAAGATTAAATGAGATAATACATGAAGAAAACTTAAAGCATAAAGTGATAAATATTAAGCTATTATTAATACATCATCAAGAATACGTCACTGGCTCTGAGCATTTCTTTAAACCTTTGTTAAACAGAAAAAATTACGTATCTCATTAAAGTAGTCCTTGAGACTAAGCTATAATATGAAAGCCGTTGTTGTTGTTGTTGTTATGTGCCATCGAGTTGCTTGCGACTCATAGCGACCCTATGTACAAGAGCTCTAAATGCCGTTCTATTCTGTACCAACCTAGCCATCTCAAAACGCACTCATTCCCACCACTCCAGTCTACTCTGCCAAATATGATGTCCCTCTCCAAGGACCAGTCCCTCCTTGCAACATGCCCAAAGTATGTCAGACAAAGCTTCAGGATCCTTGACTCCAAGGAGCATTCTGGCTTCACTCTCTCCAGGACAAACCTGTTTGTTCTCCTAGCAGTCCATGGTATATTCAACACTCTTCTCCAGTACCACAGCTCAAAGGCATCAATTCTCTTTCTATCATCCCTATTCACTGTCAACTGACGCATAGCACGTAATTGCGAAGACTATAGCCCGGATCAGGTGCACCTTAGTCTTCAGCCTGATGTCGTTGCACTTCAGTACTCGAGAGGTCCCTCACAGCTGAATTTCCCAATGCAATTAGTCTCTTGATTTCCTGGCTGCTGGTACCAAGAGTGTTGACTGTGGAGCCAAGTAAACTAAAACTGTTATCTATCTCCATCTCTTCACCATCCATACTGATGCTGCCAATTGGCCCAGTGGTGAGAATCTTTGTTTTC